CGGTGCTGGCTCCCATTTCACATGAGTGGGCTTGGAAAGGGCTTCTTTTGGAGTCTGACTTTTTTTTTTAGCATATTTAGTAATTAAACTTTAGGTTCAGGCAATCAGTATCAATGACTGCTAGCCCCTGTCATTTATTAAATACTGTGAATTAACATCAAGGGATTTAATAAAATAGTAAACAAATCTGTTTCCCTGATTGTGCAGGCATGCATTCCATTTTCAGTATCAATTGCCCAATATCTCACAAGTGCAGTATGAGCTGAACCACTTTGAAAGCAACAGACTACAAAATCAGAAGTCCATTTTGAGGAAAGCTTTTCAGGTTCCTATGTTTTCTTGAACTGCTTTGTGTATGATTTTAACTTTCAAACAGGCATAAGGGCTTAATGGTTTACAAGATAATGTACATTTGCAGATGTAACTATTTTATTTATAAGAAAATAAACTCATCTAAGTACAAAACCTTGAAATAATTTGATAAAGTTTATTTCACTTTTTACATGACTCTCGTCTTGCTATGAGGCAGGGTGGCAGGTTTTATAATGGAATTGTTGTCAGACTGTTGGTTTAGTAAATACAGTTTGGTCTCACTTCCTGTTAAGCATCATGTTTATACTCTCAAAAAGGAGACAGATTTCACTGTGAAATTATTTCCTCAAACAATTTTCATATGGCCTGTCCTCAGTTTCATAGAGATTACTGACTTCAGTAGGAATGGAGAACTGTTGTAGTTGCCTCCTTTCACTAAAAAAGTTGCACTAACTGAAAAGAAAAAGACTTCAGTTCCAGTAAGTTTTGTTTCTGTAATGGTTATGAGCTTTGCTATTCACAGTAGAGAAATTAATTATCACACTAATGAGTTTTGGCCTGAGAGGTTTTGCACTTCACATTTGAGAAAATAGCAGACCATAGTAAGAGTTGATTGTGATTGCCTTAAAATACAAATAGTATTTGAACTGCATCTCTTGAAGGAGATTTATTTATGTATTGATTTATTTATGTAGGAATGTATTTAGCATTCTAATAGGCATTGCAATGTTGATTTTAATTGAAAGGTAAAAGATTGGTAAAATTACCATTTGTGCTGATGAAAATATTTTAAACGTTTATTTTTTATTTTATTTTACTATGTATATAAAAAAAGGACTTTTATTCTGTCTTCTGTAGCATCATATTTCCCTCAAAAATGTTTTCTTTCTCTGATGTATACTATAGGTAGAAAAACAATTTTAATAACCAGCATTATGACTAGCAGTTTCAGACAAACCTTTTGGAAAAGAAAAACAGCATACCACTGGTTAGTGTGCTAAGCTAAAACCAGAGTAGTAGGTAAACTTGCATATTGAACACTTTTACTTTAAACAGTGAAGCAACACTGGCCATTAAGCATCACTGATGTTTGAAACAAGCTGGCTGTTAATCTTGGATCCTTCCCCGCCATTCAGTGATGAATAGTGTTTGTCTAAGGAGCCAAAATTTCAGTCTGGAATAAAAAAACCCATTGACCCTGTAAGTTTGCCTGCAGGAGGTTTTTTCCTCTCCTCTGGGTTTTGAGCATTCTATTTTCATATGTTGCCTTTATATATGCAAGTACATTTTGATTTGTTTTTTCTAATTCCTTTTTATAGAATGTTTAATATCTTATCAGAGATTAAAGTGCTACTTTATTTAAGTCAGTTTATATTCTCTAACTTTAACATTGTCACCCATTTAAAGGCCCATCACACCTATTCCTTATATATCTGTGTGGAGTACTAGTGCAGAAAGTTTCTTTATCAGGTTTATATTCAAGTTATGACAAATATAAGAGTACCATATCAGTGTGTGTATTGGGTTTGTGTGGCCAGGTTTTGGTAGTGGAGGGGACACTGCAGAATGACTTGTATGAGAAGCTGTTGAAGTTTCCCTCACATCTGACAAAGCCAATATCAGTTGGCTCCAGGGTGGACCCACCGCTGGCCAAGAGTGAGTTTGTCCGAGACGATAGTAAAGCCTCTGTGATTCCATATTTGAGAAGGAAAAAATGTAATTGCACAGATGTAATTGCAACCAGGAAGAGAGGAGTGAGAATGTGTGGTAGATGCAGCTCTGTAGGAGCCAAGGTCAGTGCAGAAGGAGGGGCAGGAGGTGCTCCAGACACCAAAGCTGAGGTTCCCCTGCAGCCCCTGGTGCAGCCCATGGTGAGGCAGCTGTGCCCCTGCAGCCCACGGAGGTCAGTGGGGGAGTGGAGATCCACCTGGAGCAGATGGATGCCCAGAGAAAGGCTGTGAACCCATAGGAACAAGCTCCTGACAGAGACCTACAGACCTATGGAGAGATAAGCCCATATTAGGGAGGATTTACTGGCAGGACTTGTGACCCCATGGACGACCAAAACTGGAGCAGTGTGTTCCTGAAGGGCTGCATCCTATGTAAAGGAACCTACACTGCAGCAGTTCATGCAGAACTGTAGCCATGGGAAGGACTCACACTGGAGAAGATCATGGGGAACTGTCCCTCATGGGAAAGACTTCACACTGGAGCAGGGGAAGGACTCCTCTCCCTGAGCAGTGGCAGAAACAGCAGGTGATGAACTGACTGTAAACCTTGTTCCCTGTCTGCCTGTGCTGCTGGCGGGGAGGACATAGAGCCCAGGAAAGAGGGAAGGGTGTGTGGGGGAGGTATTTTTATTATTTTATTTTTTTTTCTTATTATCCTGGTCTGATTTTGGTTGGTAATAAATTCAATTAATATCTGCAAACTGAGTTTTGAGTAATCAGTGAGTGATTTCTGCCTGTCCTTATCTCAACTCCTGAACCTTCTGTTATATTTTCTCTTCCTGTCCCCTCATGGAGGGGAATGATCATGTGGCTTTGGGGAGTACCTGGCATCCAGCCAGGGTCAAACCACCACAGTGCATAGCTGTCTAGTGAAAGGCTTTAATTCTTATTAAGAATGGACCAAGCTCCATTCACTTCATCCAGTGCATGAAATTGCACTGAACAATCCACTACTTCTCCCTGTGTTTGGGGGGACTGGAGTGGGAGAGATGGCATAAGGCAAAATGATTGACCCATACATCTTAGTTACTTTTCCTGCATTTTGAATTTCCCTCCTTCTCACAGACTAGGTATCTCTCTATATTTGCTAGCCAGCAGCCTCACCTCATAAGCAGACTGTTTCTAGGCAAGCACATGTATACTTTGGTCTGCCCCTACAGTGTAATAAATAGGCCATTTCTAGAAAACAACACTTTGTTTAAGGTTGAAAAAAATAAGGGACATCTGACAAAATATGCAGGATCATGCTTCTTTATTACCTTTATGCTATTCATTCCAACTACATTATTGTATTCCATTATGGGTCACTGCTTTTCAGAGCAGTCTTGGGTGTAGGGAAGTTTCACTAATATTAAAGCAGATTTCCTAAGCATTTCAAAATGTGCTAATTCCTTTTGCATAGCTGTCTCACTTCATAAATAGGATCTGTTGAGATAATAAGCCTGATGAGCTGTAATGTAAATATTTTAATACTATTGCTGGTAGCTTTTAGTGAAATGATTTGCTCAGTGCTAACAAAATGTGTTAGAATTGTCGTGAATCAATATGAATAATCTTTATAGGCAAATTAGCTCTTTTAGAAAGTTGAAATTTTAGTTTTCATATTCTTATCTGTAGAAGAACTACTAGTTATAATATCAAACATTTTGAATTATTATTATTTTCTTCCCTAATTTTTAATTTATCTTTTCTCCCCAATAAAAAAAAACGTGTTATAATCAGTTTGATTGGACTGGACCTTCTGAAAAATCATGTACACAAAAAAATGCTTTATTATTTATTTCTCCTTTTGATTTTGTTACATTATTAAATCCTCTCTCCAATACCCCAGTATTCCATTGTATTTTTAAAACACTGTAATGTTCTGCTACCATTTCATTTCACTTGTAAAATCTGAAGAATATTTTGTTTAAAATGGGACTGTAACCTGAAGGTGCTATAAAAGTAACTTGACTAAAAGGCAAATTACAGTATCTGAATTTTGCATTGTTATACTTTTAATAACAATGTGAATGAGAAGTAAACTACTTGAAACACTGAACAAGACATTTCATGCCTGTCATGGAGTTGGGATAGCTGTGATGGTCTAAGGATGATGGAAACAAAACAAGATTTGTTGGAAGTAGTATTTTTTACATTGAGGATATAGCTGGGGAGCACACTAGCAACCATTCAGTTGTATAAGCCTGGGTCTGTTCCTGGTCAATTAGTGATTTGATGGAAACTTCAGATCTTTAAAAAAAATGCATGCTGTTTCTCATGTTTCAGCTGATGATCAAAACCAAGCAAAACTTGAGAAAGCACCTGTTCCTAGTATATGTGAATACACATGAACCAGAAAATTGTTTAGAAATTCTCTTGTGTGAACAGCTCTCCCAATGCCCACGGGCAATGTCATGTTTACGTTTAACAGATCTATTTATAGAACAGCCAGTAGTTTCACATGTGCCCAAATACGACTTCTGAATTTGTGAACTTGTAATTTCTGAGGACTGATATGTGCTAGATCCAGAAGAGTGCAATGCATGTAAAAGCAAAAATTGCATCCAGCCTGCGTTTTGAATCTCCATCATCTGTGACAGTCATCCTCACAAACTCACCCAAGTTCCTGTGGCTTCACTGACTTCTCATTTCCGTGGATGAAAATAATTAATTGTACTAGTCTGTACTATGACCCAAGGATGTGCAGCGAGGCACTGGAATCATTTTAATTAATGCTGCATGTAGCTACACCGTATCTCTGCAAAACCTGTTCTTTTGTCAATCGACTGTATCCTTACTTTGTGAAAAGTAAGTAGCAATTTGTGAGATTTTTTTCCCCCAACTAAGTTTTTTTGCTGCTTTTTCAGTGAAAATCAGTCATGGCTGCAGCTTTCCAAGGTGTGTGTAAGTTTGTGGAATTGGTGTGACGTGTATGCGTGATGTAGTGCTTGATAAAGATACACAGTACCACTGGAATTGTTTTAGCTAGTGTTTTTATTCTAGCCAAAGGTTGCAAATGCATTTATTTTCTCAAAACATGGGGCATAATCTTTGTACCTTTCTTTCCCTCTGGTTTTTGGCTGAGGCGCAGGTGAGTCCCGAGCGGGTGTCCGTGCTGGGCTCCGGTGTGTGAGCTGCTGCTGCGGCGGCAGGGAGCCGTCATTAGACTGACATTTCAGTCATTCGACTGAAACCCCTCGAGCGAGCGTGCACCAACGCTTTCACGGTGGGCGAAGGGGTGACCAGAGACGGGCAGGAACTAATTTTGCGTTAGCTTTTGTGGAAGGGGAAAGTGTAGCAGAGGGGTGGCGGTGTGTGGTCATCGCTGGCCTGTGGAGGAACAGAATCAGCTGAACGTGCCATCCGCACCCCACGTGTGAGCGGCTTCTGAAGGGGCAGTTCCTGCCGCTGCCCGAGGTAGCGGCCCGCTAACAGCGGCACCTTCAGCGGCGCGGCGGCCGCACTAGAAGACTCGCTTTCTCCTCCTGCTGTCCCTACGCCTCCCGCGGGTGCCCGGGCAGCGCTGGC